TGGTGCTGATCAGTGACACCACTCACTGCCGAAGGAGTCGCAATATGCTGACATCTAAGCAAAGTCCTACGAGGGCTGAATTTGTATGGCGACACAAAAGCTGAAAGGACCAAGCCACTCAATCTCCCGTGAAGTCCCAACAATGGAAGCACACCGGTTGTTTGTCTCTCGTCTTTCTGTGATTACCCAAAGGAAGACTCCTATTCCTTGAAAACCCAAGCAGTCATCAAAATAGTTGACTACTATTACTGAAGGTGTTAGATGGTACAGGCTCAGTCAAGCCACTCCTGGATTGCCTAGATAAAGTTAGAGCATGAATGGCCTCCAGTTTCTTAAGTTTTAATAAGGGCAAAACAGACACCATTGTTTTTAGCCCAAGTGCTGGTTATGTCTCTAAACAGGAAGTTGACCTCTCGTTGCTGGCCCCCTTTAAGTGTGTTGTTTTATGCTGTGTTGTGTTGGGGCAGGTGCCTCACTGCTGAAGACAAAAACAGGATCTACAAAATGATCAAGAAATCTGGCTCAGTGGTTGGGCAAACTTGGACTCATTTGACATGATCATTGACAAAAGGATGAAGAGTAAACTTAAGACAGTTATGTCTCTGGAGGATCACCTCCTTCACCAGATTTTTAAGGATCTCAGGAGCTCTTTTAGTGGGCGAATGTTAATGCCCTGTTGTTCCACTGAACGTTTTAGGAACTCTTTTATTCCTGCTGCTGTGCATTTTTACAACGAGCAATTTGTATGGTTGTATATTTGATATTTCTATCACGGTTGTGGCTTATAGCATTGTCCAGTGAATGTTTTGTTGTGTGTGCGTGCATGTTGTTGTTGTTTTTTACTTGTCCAAGGCAATACAATTCCCCCCTTGGGGTTTAATAAATACAACCTTGAACCTTGAACCTTGAAGCAGCTAGTCATTGATCTGGGTGTAAAGTTGGATGTGTATCTAAAGCTAGAGGCTCATATCAATGGAGTGGTGCGTTATTGCTTTTTCCATCTTTGACGCCTGTCCAGGATCAAGCCACTAGTATCGCAAGCTCACTTGGAGACTGTAGTCTATGCTTTTATTACGTTTTGCCTCGACTATTGCAACGCCCTTCACTCAGGAGTTAGCAAGGCTGCACTTGCTCGGCTCCAGCTTGCACAAAATGCTGCTGCTAGATTCCTGAAAGGCACCAGAAAGCGGGAACACATCACAGCTGTTTTGGATCATCTGTACTGGCTTCCAGTATCTTTCAGAGTCAGGTTCAAGATACTTGTTTTTGTTTTTAGGTCTCTGCAGGGCTGTGCTCCAAGCTATCTGTTTGGGTTGCTCACCTGAAACTACCCAACACGTGCACTTAGGTCAGTACAGCAGGACTTACTCTTTGAGTAAAATGCTTGACTAGGGGAGGTAGGGCTTTGTCGCTTTTGGCCCCCAAGCTGTGGAATGACCTTCTACCCGTGGTCAGACAAGCACCCTCACTGTCGGTTTTTAAGAGTTGAATAAAGAATCAGTTTTTTATAGTGGTGTTCCCTCAGCACGTGAGTTAGACATACTTTTAGATACCTAATTTTTATTTTTTTTACTACCATTCTTTGCTTTCATCTCTGCTTTTATTTGTTTTTATGTATATATTTTTTTGCCCATTGAATGGGTCAGTGATGTTTAAAAATGTCTGTGCGTGTACAGTGCTTTGGTTTTCCTCCTGTAAGATGGAAAGGGTTATATAAATAAAGATGATGATGGTGATGATGATGATGAGGTAGATTTAACAGTCTCAGTTGGATGTAAAGTCAAGGAGAAGGAATCAGTACGCACAAGCTGATTTCACTCATGGACACTCCCCACTCTGATGGAAAGTCTCTTAAGACAAAATGTGACTTTGGAGTAAACAAACATGGAAGAAGAGGAATGTGCAACATGCTTCCATAACCTTGCCTTTTGATTTGCTATACATCATATTGAAAAGGCAACGCGGTCATTGGCCAAGACTATCCAACATGTTTGAAGTCTGGATTTGTGATTGAAGCAGTCCCACCGTGCTTCAAAGCAGACCAAAGTGCTCGTAAAACACCACAAAGGGTAGGACTATCTAATAAGATTGTATCTGGAGTCATTACGGTAATTGTGCCCAATGCTATGATTATCAGAAGAGGGACGACTGGGTCAAACATCGGGATGATTAATGTGCAGTCTGAGCTGAGATATTGTTTTCAATACTGAATCTTCTCATCCTGTGGTGGATGTCTAACCACCCATGCTGGTTTCTGAGTGAAAAGATTTTTATTTAAACTTTTGTGGGATTCACACACACATTTTATAAGTGGTAAACAAGTGTGTTTCCGTGTGTTTGTGTGTGAGAGAGAGACGGCTACAATCTCACATTCAACCTGCCAACTAGTAGACAGAAACATGAAACAGGAAATTGCTTTGGGACAGCCAATCAGAAAAGTTCTCCGTAAACAGGAAGCACCCATCACAATGGTCCTGTCAGGTGTCAGTCATTTCCTGAATGACCTGCCTACATGTCTCACAGAAAATGCCACTCATCACTTAACACCTCCTCTGGAGAAAAGTACTTAGCGTTGTATTGGGGTGGGAGTTGCAAAAGTCCATTTAAAAGTATCTATCCAAATGGGATTCAATCAGTTATATAGCACTTTTATTAGTTTTTAAAAAAATCTGAAGTTGGATCAAGTTTTAGTTCCATAGTTGCAAAATTTGTATTTGTCACATTATCTTATATTTTTGCACTGTTACTGTAAATCATGTAAAACAATGATTAATAATAGAGCTATAATATTCATTCTGTTTGCTTTTCAACATCCATCCATTCTCCTCCACTTATCGGGAGTCAGGACACAGGAGCAGCAGTGTAAGCAAAGAGGCCCAGACTTCCCCCTCCCCAGCCACTTGGGCCAGCTCCTCCACAGGAATCCCAAGGCGTTTGCTGGCCAGCTGAGAAACATAGTCCTTCCAGCATGTCCTGGATCTTCCGTTGGGTGTCCTCCCGATTGGATGTGCCCAGAAAACCTCACAAAGAAGGCGTCCAGAAGGCATCCTAACCAGGGGTCAGAGCCACGTCAACTGTCTCCTCTTGATGTGGAGGAGCAGCAGGTTTACTCCGAGCCCCTCCCAGATGATCGAGCTTCTCCAACCATGTCACTAAGGGAGAGCCCAGCCACTCTGTGGAGAAAACTCATTTCGACCGCTTATATCTGAGATCTCATTTTGGTCACTACCCAAAGCTTGTGACCACAGGTGAGGGTATGAATGTAGATTGACCAGTAAATCGAGAGCTTTGCCCTCCAGCTCAGCTCTCTCTTCACCACAAAAGACCGGTACAACGTCCGCATCACTGCAGACACAGCACCAATCCGCCTATCGATCTCACTCTCCATTTTCCCTCACTCATGAACAAGACCCTGAGATACTTAAAGTCTTCCACTTGCGGCAGGACTTTGTCTGTGAAAAGGCATTCTATATGTCTCATTTTCCCTTTATAGTAACATATCTGGGTTTTTTCTTTACCATTATGATAAGAGCGGCCCCATGTAAAACGCCACAATGGGTAGGATTAAGGTAAATAAAAACCTTGATCTGTTGTCATGAAAGAAAAATGAAAAGCATTGGATGACAAGTACTCTTTGGTAAAGTATTTAAATTCATTTGACCAACATGACTGTTAAGAGCCATACACTGCTGTTGGTGAAACCTCCTTGTACTTCTTTTTTTTTAATTGCAGCGGGTGGGTCCACACTGGTCCCTGAATGTTACACTGTCAAAGCAAGGCTTTGTATTTGAGAAGCTGAGTGTGTAATCCGTCAGAGCCTAGTGAAACGATCAACAGCTCACCCTGTCAGAGGGCCACTTAAGGCGTGCCACGGACATGCAAACAGACACACAACAACACGTGAACGCTATCACGACAACGCTGTTGTTCGATGTGCACCGCTCTCTTGGTGACAGCAGTTAATGCACAATTATTCTCCATTTCTTTTGTCTCCATTTACTGCTATTCTTCCTGTGTCCTTCACTTTACGCGTTTGTCTGCTGATGGAGCTGGTCTGTTCCTAAGTTTATTCATCAGAAATAAGTAAAAGTTTTTTTTTTTCCTGCGGTTTTGTCTCTGGAATAGTGGTGAATAAAATAATCATTCTTGGGGGAAAAAAAGTTTGTGGATCAGATGAGATGAGAGATGGGAGATGAGATATGAGAGATCAGATCAGATCAGATAAAATAAGATCTTATTGATTCCACAGTGGGGACTTTTGTGCATTACCACTGCTCAAACAGACAGCAAAGGAGTACAAAAGTGAAATTAAAAAGACAAGACTCAAAATACAACAGTAGTTTCTATGTTGACACATAAACAGAAAGCATTATGGACAGGAGGTTGTGACATAAAATAAAACGGTATTTGCATTTTTTAAATTTAGGGTAAGAGGTTGCCATTTACTTTCATATTATCTGTGCGACACATCTACAACCTAACCATGGATAACATTTAAAAACAATGATTGGCTCTTTCACAGGTTCTACAACTACAAACCCTAAAGCTGCACCAAACTCAGTCTACTACAATCCTCTTCCGAGCAAACCTGGCTCAAGATTACTGTTATTACACAGGAAGGCCAAATGACCTTTTCCGCTTTTCACTCTCAAGATTTCTTCAGCGACTTGAAATGGTGAAAACCCTTCATGCTTACACATGAAAATGCCTCCTCCCCTCCAAAGCCACATCCATGATGGATATGTGTGATACTCCAAAGCAAACCAACGTGAACCACGACTGTGTTGTGAATTTTAAAAAGCAGAACATGTTTTGCAGCGACTGAGCTCCAATTTTCTAACACAGCCATAGAAAATGACTGAAAACAATTTGTCACCTGCCTTAAAGGACGTAAATCAGGAAAATCAACAGGATTCATGAGCAGCTAATCCGCCAGCAGTTGTTTCCAACCTCCTAAGCAACATTATTAGTCCTCTTTTACAAAAATAAAGGCCACTTACCAGATGCTTGGTGCTTCCGTCCCGCTGATTTCTAGGAAGTCATATTTGTCTTCTAATAGGAAGTCGTTAAAGATTAGTGCTATCGTGTCCCCGGGTTCAGCGAGGATTGACCATGTGCAATCCAGGTTGTTGTCGTACTCTGCTGGATACCCGGGACTGGTGATTGAACCGGCGGTGCCCCGTAACGTTCCCCCACACGCTCCATCCGCTGGTTGGAAAGAAACATACAAAACACCAGGAGATCAGGACTATAAACTTTAAATTCCTGATTTTTTGTATTTTTGCCCCTAATTTATTACTTAAACAGTTAACTTGGGCTTGTAATCATTCTTTTAATCTTTTTGCCTTATTATCTCTTGATGTTTGAAACATTCTTTTTTCATACTTCTATCAGAAGAGTACTGTTCAAGTCATCACTTTCTAATGAACTCTGATAAAACAAATAGTGTTTTGTTAATTTCAGAGTTTTCTAAAATGAACTCTGATTAAAAAAATAGTGTTTTGTTAATTTCAGAGTTTTCTGGTTAACTGATTTGTGTTTAGGACAAAATAAGTGTTGAGGTGGAAGGGAGGACTCAGATGGTCATGTCATAATGGACACCATGGCTGGGTTTGAAATGTTCACTCACTTCCTACATCATATTCATTATGGGCTATACTGTGAATAGGGAACTGCCCCGTGGTTTACATTTGACTGCAGCTTTATTCGTAACTTTGCATTGTTTTCGTCCAATGTAAATAAATACAGGCAGAATTCAGTTCAATAACACACATCTCAATCTGAGTGATTCATGGCATTATTTAGCTGCTTTTGACGGCAAATGTAATAAAATCATTACTCTCTATAACACTGACCTTATATCTAATTACTGCGCTCATAAGTATGGGCTGGCATCTGCAGCATCAACCTCAAGATGAAGTTTTGAATCAGTTGTCCAAAAGAAGTTATTAAAAACTGCCATTTTTAAAAATGTGGCCCTCACTACAGAGTAGATGACACACTTTAAAGTTCACATGTGTATAAAATTATCATCAGATCAGCTGTTAGCATTAGCAGGCTGTCAAAATTCTAATACCATATCATATGAATATAACATTGTTATGTTTAAAACGCAAATATTTCATATAGCTTTTTTTTATTTTTTATTTATTTTTTTGCTTTGTTGTTTGGAAAAAGCTCACGTTCTACCCATGAATGAATGGAGTTTTTCCAAGTGCCAAAAACCAGGTATTTAGGACTAATTTACTACCTTAAATTTCCCTATTGGTGAATGTGTGTGAATGACTAATTTTCTCTGCCCCTGTGATGGACTGATTACCCGTCTCTACGGAGAAAACAGCTCCCCGTGACCCTGAGCTGAATTACATGGGTACAGAAAATGAATGTATGGATGGAATCAAGTCTATTATGACTGAAGTGTTGTTTTAACCATTTGGGCATCTACTCAGTAATAGGGTTGTCACGGTAACCGGTGTAGCGGTAAACCCTGGTAAAAAAGTTGACAATAATAATAACCGTCTTGTTTTAAAAAAAAACTATATTATCTCGGTGGGTTACCGTGGCTGCGGTGTAGGCGCGGTGACCCTTACCAGCCACCGTATCATCTGCTGAAGTTGCCGGCGGCACATGCGCACTTTGTTGTTAACAACCAAAACTTTCTTGAAGCTAAAGCTGAAATAATGGCCAGAGGAGGAGACGACAGCGCTCAGGAGGACATTTTTTATCCCTCAAATAAGGCAAAGTCGGAAGTACGGGCATATTTTAGATATTTGAAGAATGCAGAGGGACAGTTGATAGAAGACGGCTATCCTGTTTGCAGCACGTGCAGAAAAAGTGTCTGTGAAAGGCAGCAACACTTCAAATCTCATGACACATCTGCGTGACCATCACCCACAACTCTACAGTCAACGCAAGGCAAGCTAACCTTAGCGTTTTAGCTAAAATGCGTGATCCGAGGATTTGGGTTGAGGGAGAATGCAACGAGTCGATATATAAAGCAGCCGCAGCGCCGCTACCTGCATATAAACCGTGTCGCGGACACCCCCATGTTGAAATGACACTATGCATCACGGGGCTCCCAGGGGCAGATAAGAGTTGGTCTCTCTCCGAGAATAATTCTAAATTTATGACATTTTCCCACATCTGCAAAGCTCACTGGAAGGACTCAAACCGAGGACAATATTTTCCTGATATAGGGTGTATTACTCAAGTAAGGGTAAAAACGTATCTGATTGGAAGGCTACTTGAGTACTGAGTATCATCTGATCTAATATGTTTAAATGATGACATCAAACAGACATAAAATAAGAAGTTATGGGCAAATATTGGTATTTTAAAGACTAAAGGGAAAAAATGTAAACAAATAAACAATATAATTACAAAATAACACATTTTAGGCAAAATTTAGACACAAACTAAGGACAATATTTCCTGACACACAGGGTTTATTTAATTGTGTGAAAATGTAGCACGTTTAAAAAAATACTGCGATAATACTGAAAACCGTGGTAATTTTGGTCACAATAACCATGAGGTTAAATTTTCACATCGTGACAACCCTACTCAGTACTGAATCCTGCCTCTCTCTCTGATGGTGCAAACCTAAGCATGTGCGGCTGATTTTAGAGCTTATTAGTATCTGTTTAGGGTTCCTACATTCTTAGCTAATGTAGTTAATATATCTGAGGTAAAAAACTGATGCACCATTTTGTTTTGTTTCCTTGTTAGAAAATATAAATTATGGTGTTTGTTATGCTTGCTTTTTGTTTGTTATTTTTAATCTTGATTGATTTATTTTTTTGGTTTGTGAATTGAACAATATTAATCTAGTTGGGGATTTTTTTTTTATCTTCTATTCAGTTGAAAGGAATTACAATGTTCTGTTTTATTGTGTTTTTATTGTGTTTTGGATTGTTTTCGTTTTGGGAAAGTAAAAGCTTGTTTTACTTTATAATGGGATAAGCTACATCTATGGGGTCAGGCTAAATGCATCTATGCATCTAATCTTTTTTCGAACACATTATTGTATAATGTGACTATGATTGATTTGTGTAAATGAATATGTTTGAACATAAATTACTAATACTAAAACTACTAATAACCTTTATTGTATTGGCTGTGTTGGCTTTCCTATTGGTGACAAAGGCCAATCAATCAGTGTGTTTACACCTCTAAGTAGATCTAGGTCATTCTCAAGTAATAAACTTGGAGCCTTTATCCCAGTTAACATGTACAGTACAGGCCAAAAAATGTGGACACGCCTTCTCATCCAATGTGTTTTCTGTATTTTCATGACCATGACCATTTACAAAGTGGCCAACAAGTGCTAAACCCCTCTGGGAACTCCTTCAAGATTGTTGGAAAACCATTTAAGGTGACTACCTCCGATGATGTAGTCCCATGCGCGATCCAATGAGTAAACTCCATCATCTCTGTTCATGGTCCCACATCCATGTCTCCTTATCTCTATAGCTTCCTTTCTCTCTATATAGCTTTTTCTTTTGAAGATGAAGCAGAAAGTACAATAAAGAAATCGGCTGTAACAGATCACTGCACAAGAGAAAACCATATAATGGACTGGGACAACACAACGATCATAAACACCGAACAACAGAAATACAAAAGATAGATAAAGGAAGCTATAGAGATAAGGAGACGTGGATGTGGGACCATGAACAGAGACGATAGAGTTTACACATTGGATCGCGCATGGGACTGCATCATCGGAGAGGGGAGAGCAGGCAGCAGAGGGTGACAACATCCTCTGCTGCCCGCCGATAAACGGAGTAGGAAGTGACGCCACCATCAGCGTCAGCTCTGAGGATGTTTGCAGCCACAGACGAAACGTCAGCAAGGTAAAGAATAACTTTATCTGTGTTTAAAAAAGAACCAAAAATGGAATTTGAAGACAAACACAGCAGGAACGTACAAAAGATCTCAAATTAAGTTTGTTCCATTCCGGTATAGAAGGTGGCGACATCTGCCCTTTCGGGTCAGCATTCTTCCGGTTAGCTTATTGCAACACAGATAGTAAATTACCGCTAGTGGAAGTAAAGCAGACAGTAAAAACAGCATATGCACATTGGTCGAAGAAATAGACAACAACACTGCAGCTTATTTGGTATGTACTGTACTGTTTGATTAGAAAGGCATTTAAATGTGTTATTTTGTGGCAGATATTATCAGAAGACAGCTGCCACAGTCTCGTCACTTCTGGCAGTTACCAGTTTCAGCTCGACTGTGCCGTTTACATGCAGATGAAATCAGGTTCTTATTAGAACCAGTTTGCCTTCGGCAAGACTGATGTGTTTACATCAAGCCCCCATAATTCGGGTCTAAAAATGAAGCCAACATGGAAGTGAAAATAAATTGCAGTTCCACCCTCACCCGCTAGGGGTTGGTGTCAGAAGCGAGCAAATCCTCATTGACTCCCATGTTAAAAATACCAATTTCACAGCAGAAATAAACATGTTTACAGCCTGGTTCCAAAACATGTTTTAGGTTTATTTGATCTAGCTTACACTCATGACAACTCTGAGGGGGTGAATTGTTTTGTCACTCTTCTGTTTAAGTGTATTAAATGCTTAAAATTCTGAATAATTAATGAGCATCAGACCCACGTGACCGCAGAGCTAGCTCTGGGGAATGTTCTCGGACTCACCTGAAAACTGTTCTGCGATTTTAGTCTCTCAACTTAGACCATTAGTTGTAGCGTGTGTGCGTTCTTTTTGGATATTTTTTGTGCAATTGTTAGACAAATTGACTTGCTGTGGTATTAATTGCACTAATAGAGCATCCAAGGAGTCTCCACTTCATTTTTTTCAGTAAGTAAAATTACATTTATGTATTTTAGGTCACTGCCTCTCTTGCACTAGCTGGGCTTAGATTTTAACATGTACTGTTTAACAATGAAATAAAAATTTAATAGGGTAAAACCCAGTGCATTTAACATAACGCTGCATTTTAGAAAATGGGTTGAAATATAACATGTTGGTGGAGCTGGGTTCCGACTATCGGTATGGACTCCCTCCTTTCAGCGGTAGCTCGCACATCTCTGACTGCAGCGGCACTTGTCTGCTGCGTGGCTGCCAGCTTGTAGAACTCTCGGGAGACCTCTGTGTTCGACCCGGTTTTACCCAGCTGTCAGCCCGGCGCATCTCTGACTCAGAAGCTCCAGTGTTGTGCACAGTTAACTCCGGTTGTAGCTAGGTAGCTACCTCCGTTAGCTTAGCTCCCACCTCCGCGTTAGCTTTGGGTTAGCTTGTAGCTACATTGCTTCAGTTCGACGGTTGTCGTCATTTGATCCCAGCCTTACAGCCCCACCCTCAGCTCCACCTCTTTTCCCTTTTGTGGAATTGTATTGATTTGACGGAACCTGTGACACGGAGGTGGTAGGAACCTCCCATTTTGGCTTAAAAACTGATTAATTGGAGCGTAAGGACACAAATTGTCCAGTATATATGTCGATGGTTTACATGCATTTAGAAAAAAAACGATGTCAGTCTTTTTAGAGCAATTTAGAGCATTTTTTGATGCGCGCAAAAAACCCACTGAGTGAGAGTTTATTAATGTTAATGTCTTTAAAGAATGTATAATAACCCTAATGCATTTGGGATAACAACATCTGGCCAATAGATAGATAGATAGAAAGAAAGAAAGAAAGAAAGAAAGAAAGAAAGAAAGAAAGAAAGAAAGAAAGAAAGAAAGAAAGAAAGAAAGAAAGAAAAGGAAATAACTTACCCCGACAAAAAGGTGAAGGGAAGTCCCACTGTGCTCCACTGCCTGGTGACACAATACATGTGAGGATACTGTGCCCTTCCAGCACAAAACCCGACTCACAGCTGTACCGGATCTTGTCTCCCATGTTGTACTGCGAACCGTGAATGACTCCATTTGGAATAAGGCCGGGGGTGCCACATGTATGGCTGGGTAGGACTGAAATGCAGCAAAGAAGAAAAAAAAGGTGTGTATAATTATTTCAAAGTACAGAAATGTGTCCGTATTACAAACTGAGTTAAGCAATCAACCAAACATCTAAGAGCGTCCTTTTGTCTTGTGAACCTGAAAACCACTTCTAACACTTACTTTCTTCACAATATACATTTCTGAGCACAAAGCAACTTAATGGACATTTTTCTCATGAGAAGTGAAACATCTTCAAGAAACAGGAAAGAAAGCCCAATCACCTTTTGTTCCACACTTTTGAACTTCCCTCATTTTGGATGACAAAGACTAAGCCAGCACATTTTTTGACCCTATTTTTATTGCTTTTGTATTTAAATAAAACCCATAGCCTTCAAATTTCACTGTGACAACAGTTAAAATAGATCAAACATCAAACGAATGCATCAGCAAAAAAAAAAAAAAAGGCCAAAGATATGTTCATCTCGACTTTTCTTGGAAGCTAAAAATATTCCTAAGTGACAGAGTGGTATTTAGATGTCTGATTGGCTTTTTGCCTCCAATGTGCATCTGTTGTTGCCCATTCTTAGATGACACAGCTCTACAGTGGGAGAAGCTACAGGCAGCTCATGGTTTAAATAGGCCAAAATCAACTGTGACTGTAGCCAACAGGCCTCAGCTCCACAGAAGGGGCAGCTACACGTGGCTGCAAAACAACCTGGACAAACTCCACCGGCTCTAACCCTGGTGTACGCTGTGTGTTTTTGTATAACTGGAGCATGTTAAGTTGCAGGGTGTGTAATGCGTGTGCTTAATGGTCTTGATTTGTGTGTCTATCTATGGGGATGCACAGAGCAGTGTGTCTGCAAGGGGGATTCAGTGAGTCAATCTGTGTGTTTGTGTGTGCTGTTCCAATTAAACGCTAGCATGGTAATTAGACAAAGCTTCATCCCCGAGACCCTGAACTAGGACAGAGAGGAACAGGAAGGGATGCAATGAGAGGAAGACATAATGAAGAGAGGAAGGGAAACTGAAGAGAAGAAAAAGGAGTGGAAATACTATGGGGGAAGGAGCAGAAGACACAAGGAGAGGAAGTGGGAGGGGAAATGAGAAGCAGATCTCTGTCAAAGAGGAAAACAGAGGTGAACTAATTGCAATGGGCATGAAACATGTATAATTTACTCTAATGGACTCATTATTTGGATTGCATGTAGCCATGCATCAGAAGCAAGTTACAGTCAGCTGACCATGCTGTCCTCGGTGCAAACACGCTGCCTGCTTTGTTTTGTTGCAAAACTGAGACCAGAGCTAGAGCTCCAGAGTCAGGAAGAGGATGGAGGGAAGCAATAGAATGAGAGAAAGAAAGAAATAAATGGCCCAAGCAAAGTCGGTAGATGATAGTGTTCTATTTTCTGCCAAGTAGGCATGTTTAGTAGAAAAATACCTGCCTAGTGCACAACGTGTTACCTTCATTTGGGATGATGTCTGAGAAAAGCATCTCTAACAAACAGGAGGGGTGGTTTGGCTGGAAAGAGCTCACAACTAAACAGTTAGTCCTCTGCATGGATAAAGGTGTTTTCTTTGCCAACTCAAACAATACCATGTCATCTCTAGTGGACAACCTGCAGTGCTGCTGCAAAAAGACTGAGTGTGAATAGGTTGTCTGGCAGACAGCATCGGGTCTCACTTAAGAAGAACATATCAGATGCTTCTTCTGTGGGTCAATCTAAAAGAAGAACTTACAATAGAAATGTGTTGTTGGTACTTTTGGATTTGAAGGCCAATTCTGTTGTCTTTTTCTCAGACAGCACCATCTCGAGGCAGAACAATGCATTGCACCTTAAACCCCTTTAAACCCTTTAATTTGTGAATGCAGGCTCTGTGGCCTAACGCTTTTGGCTAATGCTGAGCAGTACTCTTTTGAAATTGCAAGGGACAGCACGTACACACATCATATATGTAGACCCAATGGGGGCCGATGTGGCCTACTGGAGCTGGCTTAGCAGTGGGCCTCTATCTTAGATGGGTCCCATTCCCCTCCAGTTAGTGTTGGGCGATATGACCTAAAATCAAAATCACGGTATGTTGAGGATTTCACCTCGGTAAGGATAAATGGACGATAACTATAGGTATGCAAAGAAACAAATGTTGTCCACTAGATGGGGATGTCACATGTATTACATTGGTTAGGTAGTACAGCTCCTTAAAGGGACATGATGTTGGCAACCTACACGCTTCTTTTCATTTTTTTAGAATCAAATGTATTGATATGGGACAATTCTCAATTAAAGTCAGAAATTTCGATAACGATACATTTTCAATTCATTGCCCAGCCCTACCTCCAGTGTATGTATTTCTACTGAGGAAGGTGTTTACCTAAATAGAAACACATTTTATTATGCTTTTTCAGATTTCTAAAAAGTTTAGAAGACAAAACTAACAAGGTAAGTGGCTGAAAGACAAAGAACAAAAAAGATAGGACAATACTTGTCCTGGTTTTCTTCAAATAATTAGCATTACACATTGCATATTTTACTGATATGCCTTAAAATAGTAAACTAGCATGCCCCAGATGTTAGAACATTTTTATTTTGGTAAACAATTCTTCAAATAAGCTAAATAAAACACATTCAACATTGGATCAATGTTGGATCCTATGGAATACATCAGCTTTTCTTTTTGACCAGTTCTTTAACAGAGTAATTGCTTTTTTCCATTGGAAATTATGCATCCTCTCTTTCATAATAATATTTATAAAGCATAGCACTCTTTTCTCATGCATGAAAGTTACAGTCTGTCAGAAAAGAAGGGAAATATTCAGTAACTGAAACACATTTTTCAGTGTTTTCAATTTGTATTCATTGATCAAATAGTGTTTAATTTCTAAACCTAATTAGATACTTGCCATAAAACATAGCGATGACATTGGTTCTATAATAGCAATGGAAAAAAGACACTATTAGAACATTTTCTACTTAGTCATAAAGTAAACAGCTGAAACAAAGTAATTAAGCCCAACCGAGACTTCTGCTAAAACCAGACACCTATTTACTGAGAGATTTACAACACGGATGTACATAAATACAGCATTAACAGATTAATTGATGTTCCTTATGTGGAAATCTGCTGGGGAGTGGGAAAAGCAAAGTCGCACATCTGTTGTAGGCCAGAGTAGGGCTAATGTGACACACACTGAGCAGGTGGAATGAATAAACTCTGTCTCATAAAGCGTGCTCACTCAGAGAGGAAGACTGGAGCTGTGAACAAATGAAAATAAGAGACCCTGTGACTAGATCTGACTCCAAGCCAGCGCAAAAAATACCATAAAAGTTCCATAACATGGGCCAAGTAACTGAACGGGGTCATTAAGCTGCTGCATAAAGATTTCAGACACATTCTCGCTGTTTTTCAAGCAAATTCAGCACATTTCAGCCGTATTTACGCTTTACCTGAACCAGGTTTCAGGAACGGGTCCCTTAAACAATCTTTTTGCTCCTTTTGGTGTAAGGTTAAAACAGTGTGTTTACTTTTCATTATTTTTTACAGCATGTTGGTTCGGTAAGTTTAGGCACATCCATGTTTGTAGAAAAAATAAAATAAAATAAAAAACAGTCATATTACATTTTTGTTCAGCCCCTTTGTTAGTTAAATAATTCATCCTGAGTAATTGCACAATGAAATGATCTAGGGCTATTTCAGGGAGAAAAAAAAGGAAATTAGGATTCTGGACCAAACAGAACACACAAAAAATGTTCCGATGTTTTGAAGAAGCAATTTTGTTCGTGTTGGTGAAGAGTGCTCAGATAAATGTGCTCAGATAAATGTTGACTCTCATCATCTAATTAACTGGATTAATGGCAAAAAAAAATCTAAATGTCCAAACTCAAAGGACAACAAGAAAAAATGTTCAGTTGCTGTAAACCCAGCTCTTTTATGTTTACAAAACTGCCAATTTTAAAATCAAAAGCTTGAAGTTAATGTGGTTAAAATTACTGATTGACCTGCAGCAAATACATACTGAGGTAACTACATGGAAGCACCACGCTGATTTAGTAAATACTGTAACGTGATGTAATCTGTACATTTAATCACTGCAGTTATCAAGTAGTTATTTATTAGCTATATGCCAACAAGGCAAGCTTAATTGTGCTGTGGAGGCCCGAGGAACCGGAGCACACGTCGCAGAGGATCTGAATGGGGAATTGGATTCACAGCTGTGTGTGTGGGTGTATGGGGTGGGGTGGGGGAGGAGAGGGGGGGGGGGGGTGTTAAGCTCTAATCATTTGATCAAACCATTTAAAATGCATGGACTATAATGAAAACTGTTGACGAAGAGGTGATTTGTGGGTAAAAAAAAGGAAAGGATTAGGTTTAGCAAGCAAGGTGGAAGTGATGCTCCTCTGTCATGTTTGTCACTTTCAGCCATATTACAAACTCAGGGCAAACTTCTGTTGCTATAGCAACTCAAAGCCAGGACATCATTTTAGTAGTTATTAAGTTATGAGACTGAAGCCAAAAGATGACTCAGAGATAATGAGGAAACTTGGAAAGATAAGAAGTTACAGATTAACAAGTGTTTTTTTTTCTTTTGTTTTGTTTTTGGTAAATTAAAATGCATTTAAACGTGTTTGTTCACTACATAAAAAAGCATATACAGCTAAAATATATTAAAAAAGTAAGTCATTCAAACAAAAAGTCAAATTACATAAGAAAGCAATGAGAGGTGTATGGAAGTAAATAATGGGGAAATTTTTACTGAGGCTTGTGTTAAAATAAGAAGTGGGAATTTAACACGTTAAATATGATTAGTGTATTAGAAAAAATGCGTTTGAGCTCGAGCGCCTCCTAATTGGGATCTGGAAAAGTTTATCATCACTGTTTATGCCCTAAATATCAATAAATATCATCATGCTGCATCTCTAACAAGGCTACTGGACCACAAGACCATATAAACGTTTTTACCTCTTGCAAACAAAACAAAAACTACAATTAAATGAATCATGACAAATCACTCTTCATGAAGAAAAGAAAGG